ATAAATTACATTTATGAGTAGCGTCTTCAAGTTTACTGAAAGAACCTTCAGAAGTCACCAGGACTGAATACTGAAGTTACAGACTTAGCATCAGAGAGAAATATTCTTGCGAATAACAAACTTTTTTTTCCAGGTCTTTTTACCTATTACCATAATGGATTTCCCTAAATAAGCCAAGGAAGGGATGGGCTTGTTCCCATCACAGCCAAGTAATTGTAATATCAACATTGATAACTGGAGTCTACGATTGTATCATGACCATTTTCTTTTACGCTACTAGTAACAGCTGTCAGTCTGGCTCACATTTTCCCTACTCAACACCTGCAAGGCTGCAACGCCACCAAGGACCCACTTAAAGAAGAAGTGGAAACTTCCTTGAAAGTAGACCAGACTGCCTTTCACCTTTCCATAATTAAAATATTAATATCCTATACCATTAGCCGCTCTTACAACAGATATTTTCGTTAATAAGATCCATTTGAAGGTGGATCTGACGAGCCAGCTAGTAGAGCACCCGACACGGTGTTAACAGTGTTACATAGTACATGTGTCGAGGAGGAGATCCCAGAGTGGAGCTTGAAAGAGGGAGCCAGAGAGAGAGGGAGAGAGAGAGAAAGAGAGAGAGAGAGAGAGAGAGAGAGAGAGAGAGAGAGAGAGAGAGAGAGAGAGAGAGAGAGAGAGAGAGAGAGAGAGAGAGAGAGCCACGCGAAGATATGTTCTTCCTCAGACTCTAGTTATGCAATAATGCTTCCTTAAGAAGCAATCTGATAAAACAAAGTTGTTTTCCTTTACCAAGCTTGCGCACCTCGCTGGATGACTTCGTTGTTTGGGTCGGTTGATCGATAAGTCTAGGTTTCCCTCTTTTTCTCTCTCAAAATACTAGTTACTCTCGACAAGACAGCCGAAGGATATTTGTAGGATGGTTTCGGGGGTCAACGCCCCAGCGGCCTGGTACCAGACCAGGCCTCCTGGTAGATCAACACCTGATAAACCAGATTGTTACTGCTCTTGATGGCAGCGTTGGGTCTGTTGGTAATCCCTCTTGGAGTGATCGGAGGCTGTTGAAAAGTTTTGGGCCGCTTTCACTTGTCTTTGAGCGTACTCAAATTATTTTGCACTGTCTACCAAATATTTTGCTTTCGTAGGGAGTAATTTCAGTGTGCATATTTGAGATCAATACTTTTTAGATTTTTCAGATGTAAATTGTAGTGTAACTTTATCGCATGTGTTCCAGGAAGTAAAGATCGAGAGATTTCTAACGTTTTCAGTGTATACGTCCATTGAAGGTTCTCTGTTGATAAATTAGACATGTGCAACTCTTGGGTATCTTTATTGAGGAAATGTTTAACCACACAGTGGCTTCATCAGTCCATACGTAGGAGAAACTTGAAGAACAGGAGGAGAATGAGGTAATCTACAAAGGTTCTCTGTACCCATTCATGTTCTCTTTCCTTCAAATGGGTGGGGGGGGGGTCTGTTATTGTACTTCAATATTCCACTCTAGAGAGATCAAGTGACTTGAAGAGAATCATTATCAGTCTGGCATTCCTTGTTTTGAAGGTTCTCGTTCTCCAATCTATTATTTTCCTCGTGGTCGTGATAATAAAACTGTTTTTATATTGGGTATTATCTTTCTTAAGCACTTCTCACATTAGTAATTCGTTCTATTGTGTGTTTCAAATTCAGTTACATTATCTGCTTTAATTTTTATTTACTCATTTTTTCAATAACGGAGTAACAGAAATTTCACCTCATTGATCGTCGTATTGATTTCTGTGACCCAATGGAAGACTTGGTTTACATCCACTTGAAGATTTTGCCATATCCTTTATTGATGCCGCTCTCATGCACATTCTTGTATCGCAATTTAATACATACAATAGATATACGTGCAATGAATATACATGCAGTGGCTATCAAGCCAATGGATACACGTGCAATGGATATACGTGCAATGGATATTCGTGCAATGCAGTCGAGAGTGGAAATACATGAATATTATCGGATGATTGATCTTTAAGTGCTGGATAATATGTAAGGTTGAGTAAGAAAGGGCCTGAATACCTGCTATAACGACTCAGCGAATACTTTCATCTGCCTGTTACTGACGAGCCTGTCAGCTGCTAGACTGCACCTAGCAGTTAGCTGCAGACTGCACCTGACAATCAGCTGTCAGACTGCACCTAGCAGTTAGCTGCTAGGCTGCACCTAGCAGTTAGCTGCTAGACTGCACCTAGCAATTAGCTGCTAGACTGCACCTAGCAGTTAGCTGGTGGACTGCACCAGACAATCAGCTGCCAGACTGCACCTAGCAGTCAGCTGACAGACTGCACCTGACAATCAGCTGCCAGACTGCACCTAGCAGTCAGCTGCCAGACTGCACCTGACAATCAGCTGCCAGACTGCACCTAGCAGTCAGCTGACAGACTGCACCTAGCAGTTAGCTGCTAGACTGCACCTAGCAGTCAGCTGACTAGACTGCACCTAGCAATAGCTAGACTGCACTAGAGTTTAGTGCTTTGATGCAACAACTAATCAGCTGCAAGTACCACTAGCAATTCTGTAAAAGAATGAACCTGAACTAATCAGTGCCGGATCACAAAGAGCTGCGATCACCTGACAATCCAGCCTAGCCAGACGATAAGTTTAGTGCTGATTTAACCGGCCAGTCCGGTGAATGACCAGCAGTCAGCTGCATGTTATATGTTTTGGTCATTTAAAACTTCCAGAAATGTACCACTAGCACAAATTTCTGTAATGCTAACTATGAACTTTTCAGTAAGAGGGCATACTACAGAACTTACCTGTACCCCGACCTAGCCAAAAGTAAGGGTGCACGCCCGAAGTCGGTTAGCTACCGGAATTGGGGAAATTGCGCTGCCATTAAACTGTCTAATGTCATTACCTACACTAAATGAAAGCTAATAAGAATTCATCCATCACCATGAGATTATCCGATAATAGCATAAGTAAGGCACAAACTGATAAATGTAGCACGGAGAGCGAAGAAATAAGCATACCACTTTGTAGTACAAAGCGGCATTCTCCACGGGTGTAATATTAGTAGGCAGGTAACTGGGGCCTTTACAAGCGGCATGTCCCATTTGGGGTATCTTGGAGGACCCAGGGGTGATCTTTACAAGCTGTCAATTTGCGTATCGGTGGCTCTGCCGATCTCAAGCGTCATTATATTGATTTCAGCAAAATGCATTTTTCACAGCCACGATCATTATGCACAGAGCTTAGCTGCTGTCTTGGTCCAGATAATGATAATGCATCATTATTATTCGCAGTATAATTGAAATATACCCTGCATTAGTCTGTAATGATGAGTGTGGAGGATACCGGCAGCTGCAAGTATTCTCCAGCTCGGGGCTTCAAGCCTCTAAGTGCACGTACACGAGGAGAAATAGCGTGTTTTTTTTGCACGTACGTGCATGCGTGCACACGCACGCACACGCACGAGCCAAGTGTGTGCTCCTAGCTATCGACACATCGAAGGGAAGGTCGTCTTGTGTCTATCACCCTTTACCCCAATCCTTCTCTTCCCTCTTACTCTGCCATCTTTCTTACTAATAATCCCCCGGAATTACATGCAGATCACAACTGCATAAAAAAGATGATCCTACGAGTCATGATAGTAGACTAAGTAGAGACTCAGATAATACAGTAGACTCGCAAATAAATCAACTTTACCACTTTTCCATTAATTCACCCTAATTTCAGCTTCCACTATAATTTATACTGCTGCTTTTCCTATCATTACTTTTTGTGACCACAAGTACTAACACCACGACTAATTCTGTTACCACTTTCTCCACTTTTACTAATGCTGATGCTTGCGTAACAACTACTACCACTACCACTACTACTTCAACAACTACACAGTCGTCGTAAGGGGGAAGCGCTGAATTCATATAGGTCGTACAGTGCATGGGGAGTTGGAGGTAATCCAGTTCGATTCAAGGAAGGGAAGGATAATTCTTGGATCAGGAGATCCTCACTGGCACCAGGAATCTCCCTAGAAAAGTCGCAATCATACAGTTTGCAGTTAACAGAGGACTGGTAGATACTCCTCCGTTATTATAAATTTTGGAGTTCAGTCGCAAGTTCTCTCAATCTGTTACCCTTACCATCCCCGTTCTCTGCTTCTTTCCGTTCCCTGAGACCACTTCCTCTTCTCCTCACCTGCCTCATTTTCGATTCTTCATCCTCCACCATCCTTTTGTCCTCTCAGCCTCTCCATCTCCTGCGCTATCTTCATGGAGGAAGGCGGAGGTCAAGCTGGGTTGTTGATAGACTTTAAATTTACGTCTTATACTGTAGTCGTATCTCTAGGCAATAAAAAATTTACAGCCTGCTATGAAATTGCTCGTGTAAATCACATATATGCAGAGCCAATAAAAACCCACAGTGAACCCGTTTTAAGTAATAGTGGTTTTCAATGAGAAGAAGAAGAAGAAGAAGAAGAAGAAGAAGAAGAAGAAGAAGAAGAAGAAGAAGAAGAAGGTCTTTATGACTTTCTTCGTAGCGAGTGAGGAGAGCCGTAACATCAGCCTATGACTTCAAAATAAGGAGCTAAGATGCACTGTACTACACTCTTGATGTAATTATTATATTCGCCTCTCTTTGTTATATAAAGATATGTGTGTCATAGCTGCTGCTGCTGATGCTGGTCGATGCGATGGTCTCTGTCTCTGTAGCTGATGGTTGCTGCTACTTCTGGTGGTCGCTGTTGGTGGCTGCCTGTCGCAACTAGCCTTATACACGATTTTTTCTGAGGCTGTCGTATCATTAGCATTGCCATTTTTTTTATTTATTTTTTTAACAAAATGGAGTTTTCCTATTTATTGTTCAATTTACGTTACTTAATCTATGTCAATGGGTGCCTTGTTTTCAGGGTAAATGTAAGTATATTAGCGATTTAGTTATTTAATGCAGGTACATATTATTTTATTAACTGCAAGTGAAGAGATATTAACGTGTTCTCTCTTCCACAGATGTGGCAGGACATAGAGACGGTGCTGCTGGGGGACGCAGGAGCAGCTGACCCGGAGCCACTCCTGGCTGTCGACAACACTTCTGACCAACTTGCCACGCCCATGTCGTCGTCTTCGTCGTCGTCATCGTCTACGATGTTCACAGCGCCATCATTACCTCAGACGCCATCAATTTTATCGCAGGCGCTGACAGCGCCACTGACGCCACGTCTTCACTCGCTACAGTACACGTCGTTCTGCCCCCAGCATGAGACCCTCCTTAGTGGCCTAGGAGGCGGCGATGAAAGCCAGGGAAGTTATAACGTTCCTAGTGACGACAACCAACTGTATCGCGGCACGTCTCCAGCCTCCACGCCCATGGACACGAGTTACCATGGTCAATATGCGTCTCCGTATCACGCATACGTCGAGGGGTTAGAAGTGGAAGCCTACGTGACTGAGGAGATGAACGGTTCACAGTACAATCCCAGCGTGATGGAAGCCCCAGCGCTGGTCCAGCCAGAAGATTTCGTGGACCTAGATGCCTTAGCCAAGAGTGCAGCCGAGGGTCACTACTGTGGTGACCCCACCACGACGTCACAACCCAAACACGAGGCTCAGGAGCATTTCCAGTTTACTCTCCCTGAGGCGCCCACAAAGCTGCCCTCCATTACCACTCTGCAACCACGAGCCCAACCCCTCACCTTCAATACATATGGCACCACACTGCCACCAGTGTCTGCCGTTACTGGAACGCAGCAACAGCAGCAGCAGCAGCTACAACAGCCACGGCAAGGAGAGAGTGCCCCACCCCTCGCTGTCCCAGTGCCCACATCAGCTGCACCTCCCCCTGGTTTGCAAGGTGTAACACAAGTTACTTATACACACGGTCAAATGTCCCCACCCGCATCCCCGGACAACGAGGAGCTCCCACCCGGTGTTAGAGTATCCGGTTGCATGACCCACCTGGGAAACACCACACCCCTCACCACTCACGCCCTCACCAGACAGACCCTTCACACACTAGTAAAGGTCATGACACCACCGTCTTCGCCTAACTTGTCTGAACTACTGTCTACTCCCGTTACCACAACACCTTCGTGCCAGGCTCTCACACTTACAGGCTCCGAACGCAGCAAACAACTCAACCGTGAGCCTCCAGCGCCCCCTCCGCCAGACGAAGCAGAGCCGAAGGTAGTCAAGAAACCAACGAGTCGAAAAAAGATCACGGCCCACACATGTCAACACCCGGGTTGCCACAAAACCTACACGAAGTCATCTCACCTGAAAGCTCACTTGCGCACTCACACAGGCGAGAAGCCCTATATGTGTAACTGGAAGGGCTGTGGCTGGAAGTTTGCGCGGTCTGACGAACTGACTCGGCATCTTCGTAAACACACGGGCGACCGACCCTTCCAGTGCCGTCTGTGTGAACGAGCTTTTTCCCGTTCGGATCACCTCAGTCTTCACATGAAGCGGCATGTGAGCGTGTAACCGCCCACACGCCCACAGTGTACATACATTCTCGGTGTACAAAGGCTGGGAAGCGGTGCCCAAGCCTGATCCAAGTTACCAGGAGTCTCCCTCCCGCCCGCACCCGACGCGCCCACACACTCCCGCTCCTCACCCACTACTTAATCTTGTATAAATTCGTTGCGTCGCTCAATAACAGGCAGGGGGATGAACTGCTTCAAAACTCGTGCATAAGCCATGATAATTAGCGACGGTCAGACCCAGGCAAAACAGACGAGACAGTAAAAATGTGGAAACAAATAGGGGTGGCACTTTTGGCAGCCTGTGCCGGCAGTACCTGGTTCTCTCTCTCAATGACTGTCGCCCCATTCCCCACTCCATCCTTTTACACATCACCCTGAAGGGTAGCCCCATAAACCCTTCCTCGCCATCTGTTCAGCAATCCTCCTCTCCCTCACCCAGAATGGTTCACCGCTGTCCACCATATCAGGACTAATTAGCACTATAATGGTTACAAGTTCCCGGCATAACAGTACCTCATAGCAAAACTTAAATTTCAATTAATCAATATAAAATTAATAAACCATTGGCAGAATTTATACAATGTATATTAAAAATGCTGGCAGTAGGTAAACGTCTCATGAAGAAAAAAATTAAACATTAATTTACATTTTTCCTGAAACTTCTATCTCTTCTCCTTTTAAAGAAGCGTTTAAAGAGACAGAAAGTTCTTTTTATACTTAAGCAAGTTACTTTGCTGTGACTAGTTATATAAAAAGCAGCATGCGAAGTAAGCGAGGGTTGGGGAGGCGAGGAGGGGACAGACAGCAGCGAGAGTGCGGTCGTACATTAGATCAACAGAAGGGTCGCTGTGTTTCCCAATGGTCAGGTTGTCACGATGTGTCTCAGTAAAGACACTCGTTCTTGGTGCCTCACCCTCTTTCATCTGCCACGTCTGCCGTGCGCGCACACACACACACACACACACACACACACTCTCTCTCTCTCTCTCTCTCTCTCTCTCTCTCTCTCTCTCTCTCTCTCTCTCTTCCTGTCTATTCCTTTTGGTTTATTTATTTCTCTTTTATATGTTTTATTAACATAATTAAACTTCATATAGTTGCTCCTTCCGACTCTCTCCTGTCGTCTCTACCTTCCGTCCTACCATGCACTCTACCCGTTTTCCCATATACTCTCCCGTCTTCCCATGTACTCTCCCCGTCTTCCCATGCACTCTCCCGTCTTCCCATGTACTCTCCCGCCTTCCCATGTACTCTCCCGTCTTCCCATGTACTCTCCCGTCTTCCCATGTACTCTCCCGTCTTCCAGTGTACTGTCCCGTCTTCCCATGTACTCTCCCGTCTTCCAGTGTACTGGCCCGTCTTCCCGTGTACTCTCCCGTCTTCCCGTGTACTCTCCCCCGTCTTTTCTCTTCCCCCCACATTCTCCTGTTTTCTGAGGTGTGTAGATTAAACACCGAGGGAGAAAAACTAAACCTGTCGTTCATGATAATGTGTCGTGCTTCACCGCTGATGACACTGAACTCGTTCTCCAGAAGCCAGATTCTCATAGAGAGAGTTTTCTCTTGTACCACAAATCTTGCATATTTAACAAGGAGATGGACTGAATAAGCAAAGACTGGGAAGCTGAAGACAAAGGTTATTCAATTACTTCATGGAGAACACGACACTACAAATTAGTTTGCTACTGAGGAATTTAAATATGTAGTACGAACCTAACATTTGTATAGCCATCAACTAATGCTCACTAAGTGCCATAATGATTATATATATATATAAATATATATATGTAAACAGATATATGTACATTAGAGATTATATGCAAAGAATATATAAATAAAAGTATCTGTACAAAGCTAACGAAAGATGACTCTAATCGAGCTAGTTTGCTCTAGAAAATACTTCTTTTTATCAAGTTTGAAACTAGTAAGCTAGTCCAGAATGCCATAATATTTTATGCGTCACATGCTAGTTTGAGCTTTGTGCCTGGCGGTAACAGGGGCCCAATTTTGCCCAGAGTTTACTAGCCACGGCGAGAGAATAACACGCAGAAAGCGTCCCCCCAACAGCGCCCCTTCACAGTTTCCAGAAGGTTGGGGAGTTTATGTTTTCATTAGGGTAATGGAGGGTGCTGCCATCTGTTGGCCCCTCGGGACACTCACCTCTGATATGGCGTCACGGGACGCCAGGCTAGGCACGCGATCCCCCACTCACATCAAGAGCGTAATTATGGCTCTACCTCTGTTATGACGCCTCGTATTAATTAACAGCTAAAGTTAATTAAGTGACCCCTTCTGTAGCGCCATTAATGGCATCACCAAATACTAAACTGCTGCCGCATAGGGGACGAGAGCGAGGCAGAAAAACTGACGCCATATTATGTGGGTAAAATGTATGAAGCGATAAAATGACCATGGCGCCCAGGGTATCTTGTCGGAAATGTCTACAGACGGTGTGTGCGCGTGCTCGGGAGAGCGGGAGAGGCGGCGGTGCTCCAAGCTCTAGTTTAACCAACTGTAGGCAGTTAGATACCAGTAGATATGTCACTAGGCATCGTAGCTCTTTCCCGTATCTAGGAATGGATACGAACTATACACGTCAATTTTTTAAGGACTTTATTTTTTTTATATGTAAAGTCAGACATTCCAAAAGTTTTATGTATATTTCTAATAATTTTTTATTAATGTTACAGCTCCAAGAGGGCTGTATTTTGAGTATATGTATGCTTGTGCGTGTGCATGTGATAAATGGTGATTGATTTGCTCTGTCTTGGTTAGCAAGAGAGGCAGAGCAACACTGCTGTATATATATATATATATATATATATATATATATATATATATATATATATATATATATATATATATATATATATATATATATATATATATATATTTGAGGAAGTGAACGGGGTGGTAACCCTGGCCCTCCTTCACCCACCATCTATTCTCTGCCTTCATTTATTCAAATTTCAACAGTAAATTGAAATTTTCCTTGTATTAGTTTCCCATAGGCTCCCAAGGAGTCAGTTGTGTTTAGTGTATGTCATGATCACAAGGAGGAGAGCAACCCTGTTAGGCAGAAAGCTCCCAGAAATGGTAGCCAAGTCAAAAGAGGTCAATACCAGGTACTAGCCACACACAGGTCTTGCTCCTTAAGTAATGAAGAATCACCCCCCATGAAACAACACTCCTGACATTAATAATTTCAACGTAATTTTTAATATCATAAAGTAATGCCTTTCAAAATCTTATAAGGAGAATAAGAATGCAGATAGTCGGCAGAGGGTGGCACTATTTACGTCAGTAGCAAGGCCTAGTGATGCAAGACCCGTTCATGTAAGCTCAGGACGAACAGATGACGCATCATGGTGCTCTCTCTCTCTGTAGAGTTTGGCTGGCCAGTAGGACCCGAGCACCTCCTCCAGGTGATCCATGACGGTGCATCAGCTCGACGAGAGGATACATGAGTGGGTCTCTATTGTGTACAAACCTGAGTAGACTAAAGCTCGGGTGTAGCGTTGAATGAGCATCATTTCTAGGTTAGAGTGAAGACACCTCGGCTCCGGGTTTTAAAGGGTCTACTTATTGCCTTGCTAAATGTCTCTCACCCACCAAAAACTTAAGCGAGATGTTAAAGAGGCTACTTACAGATGTCGCCCATCTTCAGGCATCTTGGGTGGAGACCTGCATACTCTCACATCACTTTCGGAGAGTCCTTCGTAAGAGACACCGGAACCTCGTCGAAGATTCCACTAGCCAGAAATATGCTGCAAACAACATATATTCGTAACATAAGCACTTTCCTGAGTGAATTAGTTTATTATTATATTGCTCCACATGATTCAAATTTTCACAGTGTATTTTGATGAGGGTGGCCTAAGTGTTTTAGACGAGGTTCTCCCTTGATTATCGGTTAATTATGACAATAAATGCATATTAACTGGGGGGAATTAATATGTTTTGCAATCACAATAACACAGACAATAAATACATACAAGACAATTACGTATCATAATCTGTATATAATAAAATGTAGTAATTGGTTCCAGGGTTTAAAACGTCTAGGCACTTGTCATCTCTTTACTCTGGCCATAGAGCTGACATCCCTATGGTCTTGATATGTGATACTAGTCTTTAATAAAGTGCATTTTATGTAGAATAATCATGTTCATTGGGTAGATTACTCGCTCTCCTAAATGTCATTTTAATATTTGCTTATGTATTATGCTCATGAATATATTGCAGTTAAAAACTGTCAAAAATAGAGTTACTTATAAGATGGATTATATATATATATATATAATATATATATATATATATATATATATATATATATAATATAATTATAGTTGTGCCGAATAGGTAAAACTTGCTATTGTGGTTTAAACAGCGCTCTTCTTACCGAATAAGGCAAGGGAAAATTTGTGTATGCAGTAATTTCGCAAAAATCATTCCGAATCTAACGAAAAAAAAATTATATATCTTTAAACGCATAAGAGAAAATTTTAGAAAGGACTTAATTTTAAATGCGATTTTGCCAATTGACCAGTCTTACCTATTCGGCACGTAGATTATATATATATATATATATTATATATATATTATATATATATATATATATATATATATCCATCTAACCTGTTTTTTCATATAATAGATATAATTTATTATGAAACACTAATTATTGAGTGTAGTTACAAGTGCACCCAAAGTCAGGGATGTGTCTTGACTTTCGGTGTACTGATCAGTAGTGCTGACCCACCACGTTAACGAAGGTAATTCGTGTGTAGCGATGCAGTCTGTGTTCGTGTGGTATACCACTTGATACTCGGTATCTAGTCAATGATTGTTCTTGATCGATTTATTTCGGCAAATAACAAAATTAAAACAGTTTACTGTCTGTTATAATTTACTAATATTGACAATGCAGTAACTACATTCGTGTCCCTGCCCCCTCCATTCCCCCCCCCCCCAAAAAAAAAAAAATATATAATATTTAAAATGCCGTCACAGGCTGGTTTTAAATGTCGCTTGTATGTGTGTGGTGGTTCGGCGTTAACTGGAAACTGTCTCCAGCAGGATGGTGCCTCATACTCATAATGGTACCTGATAACCACCTTCATCGCCACTGATTACCCTTATTTGTTCGTCTGTCACATGAGAGCCTTTCCCCTCTCCCCATTTTATTTGTATGCTTGTCCCCTCATGGTTATTCGTTTGACTTATCATGACGTCATTTGTTGTACGTAATGCGTCCCGTTTCGTTAAAGTGATGTCTACAAGTTGGCTGTATTATAATTATCATTATTTATAATTAAAAATTTTTTTTGTAAGATTTTTGTTCACACCATCCTGTCTTTCTTCTGGACTCCATAGAGGCTGAAGTGGTATACAGATAATCACACTGTAGCGATGCCATATATTTACAGTAATTATCCTAAATATTGAGAAGATCACCTGTAATATCGTCAACTAATCAAACAGAACAATCAAACATGTTTTATATCTGAGTATGCCATCTCAGACTACGTCTGAATGCCAACCCATATATAGGTATCTAGGTTAAATAAATGCTAGCTAGATTACCCTTGTAAGCATTCCATACTTCGGTGATGAAGGCCGGACACACGTCTTGGTATTTGGACAACTGTGTGTGATTCATTGGGATAATTATACGTGTTTAAGTAACCCTATCACCCGCGTTGCTTCTTGGTTTGACTAGCTTACCCAAGTGAGTGGAACAAGAGCAGCGTGAGGTGTGCCTGTATATAGCTGCGCGCAGTTTATCCCCTCCTTTCTTCCCTCTCACAGCGTCTTCTCTTCCCATTCAGAACGTTCCGTAAACCGCATCCCAACACTCACCTACAGTCTTTCTCTCAAGCTCAGGCTATCACATCCCGGTTCCCCTCCTCTCCTTTCTCAAAACCCCTGCCATGATGTGTGTATTCAAGCAATACTTCTCAACAATATGCCCACCTAG